TTGTTCAGAATCTGAATGGAGAGAAGACGGATTGGAAGGAGCTGCTGTGGAGGTGGAGACAGCTACGCTGGAGTTTCCGTTGAAATGCCCAGCCCTAGTGAAACAAAACCATTTTGTCCCCTAAACAAAACGGCGCCGTTCCAGCGTCTAGTAACCCAGATGTGTCACAGGCCCTAAACTATGTTGCTTCACCAAAATTCCCAAAAAAAAAGCCCACCACAACACAGCTTGAGGGTATTAATGTAAAAACCACCCACCAGAACCTGCCAAATATCAGATTCAAACCAAAATAGCCGAAATCAAACCATATCGTTAAAGAGAAATTAATTAGGATTTGAATTTAGTTTCCTTAACTGGCTCACACTCTCCCTCCCCCTACAAATTATTCAATCACAATAACCCGACCTTTATTATTGCTTTGCTTATGTTAGATGACAGATGTCTCCGAAAAAGGGAGAGAAGAAGTAGGCTGCTGCTGGATTCAGAAGCTGTTAAAAAAATTAAGGTATTTTCTTCAAAGATCAATGCTTGAGCACTAGATTTTTCTTTTGGTTCGAATCCAAAGTTTTGCAACATGCTTGCTTCTAATTACGTTCAAAACTTAAATCGATCCAAACTTTTTTCTTTTCCATATTGTATCTGTTATTTTCGTGAACTGAATCTCTCAATAAGAGATTTATTTTAACTTCAAAAAGAAAAGCAAAGAGGAGTTATCTAATTTGTGTTGTGATTAAATATCTTGATATTGTGTGCGTGTATGCGACTAGGGTTTCATGTATCTTAATCCATGTGTTGAATAGAAAAACAAGCCTCATTGGGCTGAACCATAGCCAAGGATGTGGTGGGCTGTAGCCGAGGAAGTTTTGAAGAAAAACTAATAATAAACCTATATCTACATGGCCCACCACAACAAATTTGCTGCTTTTTGGTTTTCTACTATGCTAAATCTGCTACTTGTTTCGACCAAAAAAAATATTCTGCTGCCTATTTTTTGTGCATGAAATTATATGCTGCCTTTGGCAAAAGATTTTTGAAGAAGAAAAAAAAATGCCTATATGGTCCACCATCAACTACAATACATAAGGAAAATATTATTTTCTCAAGTTCATTTGTATTCTCTTTTAAGAGTGGAATAATATGTTAACCTAATTATATTGTCCTTATGTTTACAACTAATATATATGTGAAACTAATTATTTATATTTTTGCACTTTGCATTTTAGAAGCTTCATCGGTTGATGCTAATAAATTTGAACTTCAAAATGCAAAGGTAAGATTTTTTTATGAAAAAAATCATTAGATGTTAAGCTAAACTTTTTAGCTAGCTCACCCACCGAAAAATTCATGATTCTGCCTTATGTATGTCGGTTGTAGCTAGCAAAACACTTTTTGCCATTTATATCATATATATACAGTTCCCTTCTATTAAGGGATCCCTCAAATAATTATTTGAGGGACCCCCTTTAGGGTACCGTACGAAATTTTTCATATACTTATTTATCGTTTTATTTATTTATTATTGAAACTGTTTTTGTTTGTAGAGTTATAAAAAGATGCCTCCTGGAGCTAGAAGAAGCTTAGAACTTATACCAAATGAGATTGCTCGTAAGATGACCTTTCGGAAGCGAAAGAAAAGTATATATAAAAAGGCGGACGAGCTTTCGAAACTCTGTGATATTGATGTTTGCTTGATCATCTATGAAGCTGATCAAAAGAAGGGGAGGGCAATTCAATCAGAGACGTGGCCTCAAGATTCAGCTGAATTCAATCACATTTTTAACAAGTATAAAGCTTCCAAGGATATTCATGTCCCTAGTTTAAAGCAAAACTTCGATTTGTCTGATTTTTACAACGCCGCCAAGAAAGAAGACGTGGATCGAAAGTTTGAAAAAATGTACCCAACATGGGATGATCGAATCGACGAGTTTTCGCAGGTCGAATTGATTAAACTAATTGGTTCACTGGAAGCCAAGATACAAGCTTCATCCAAGAAGATTGATTCCGTGGAACAAAATTGAAATGTATCCAAAGCAGAAGAGCACACCAGCATGTGTTGGAAGCCTACTAATCAAGTCCTTGATCAGCAAACTTGTCTTGAATTCGGTGCCTTTAATATGATTTCAGTCAATACTACAACTTCAGCCCTATAATTGATGTCTATATGTGCAAATATCTCAAACTGCCTAGTGCATGGATTTCAAGCTCATTGAAGATCTGATGATCTAACCCTTACTGAATTTGTAGCTATCTTTTAGTTTGATTGATTCAATTTCTGATTTACGACCTTTTGGCTATATGGAAAATACATGCCTATGTTTACTCTCTTAATTTACTTTCGGAATTGTGGTTATACCATGCTTCTCCTTTAGTTAATGGGTATTTTTATTGGGTGTCGTTGTTTTCATTTATTGTTTTACAATATTGTAAGGTCTTCTCTGTTTCATTTAAAATATTAGAGCTACACTTATGATAATACATGTGTATCTTCCAATATACTAACTAAGCTCCAAGTTTCGTGGTATTTTCCTATAGGGTGTTGTTAAACTGATGCAGCGTGACAAATAAATTGCTAAAACCTTAGCCTAGAATATGGAACTTTGGAATCCACCAGGAAGATATGAGGAAACTTCAAGGTTTATTTGATAGGATCCTGATTCCTTGCTCTGATTTTCTCTGTTAT